TATCACTATAAACTGTAATTAAATCTTACTACACTATTTATCGATAGTTCTGAGATGGTAAAGATTTATAGAACGCAAAGAAATAATTAATTTTTTAAAAATAAATTCATGTAATAACGGAAGTATACTTAAATACAAAATACGTTGCACGTGAGGTGCTATTATACAATTATTTTGACGTATCAAATACATTACATGCATTAATATATAACATGGGTAACATTTGCATTACACTGTGACGTAACTGCTTCTTCTAATGTACAATCTAGTTTACGATAATTAGCTGTGCTAGGACGCCGTCTACCACGGCTGTTTCGTGATCTTCGTCCTTCTAATACAATCGCTAGTATCTGTAACATCAAAACGTGAAATTAATAACAATGTATACAACAAATTTTATTCATTTGAAAATTTTTCTGTTACCTTTTGCTTATTATAATAACCAATGTACGCAGCAATAGAGATCAGGGAGAGTATAGTAAAGTAAGTAAAAAAGTGGGATTCTTCATCTGTCCTCATAGTACGAAAAGAAGACATATTGTCCTTTTCATCTATAGGTTTATGTTTATTTTGGGATTGATCTATTAAAAAAAAGCATATTGAAAATAGTATAATAATAATGTAACTGTTAAAATTTTAGCTTAATATCAGTATTATACATAGATGAACTACTAGGCCTATGTTAAAAAGAATGTTTACAATCTTAAAATGGTGAAATACACAAGTATTACAAAAACAGTACCTGTATCAATAGGTGCGTCCGGCTCACCAGTGTTGTTTTGATCTAAAAGCATAGTAAAATAGATACTGTACAGATTACACACAAAGTTAAAAAATTCTGGAGCTTCATAGATCATTACCATCCATTAATCCGTTATCCTCTGCATTATTCCACTCAATTTGTTTGTCTTCTTTATTAAGTTCTTCATTATTTTCCTTTGCTGTATTTACTCCAAGTTCTTCAGACTCCTTGTTTGTATTCTGTAATTCTTTGACTTCACTGTGTGTTGCCTCATTTATGTTCTGTGTTATTCTGTGTGATTCCTCATTTACATTCTTTGGTTCTTGTTTATCACTGTGCGGTGGCTCAATTACATTCTGTGATTCTATTTTATCATTATGTGGTTTCTCATTTACATTCTGTGAATCCTGTGCCTTATTTACATCCTTAGAATGAGTTAGTTCAATAGTGCTTTTCTGTTGACTTATTGTATGATCATTGGTATGTTTTTCATCTTCTACAGGATTTAGTTTTCTCTCTGAATTTAGTGGCCTTGTTTTTTCTTTATGAGCTGCATCACTTTTATCTTCATTATTATCAATATTATTTAATGCTTTAATACCATTCTGCGACTTGCTCGTAGTAACTTGTGATTCATTTGATAACTTCTGATCCTTCAGGTTTTGTGTCTCTTCACTTAATTTTTTAGGTTTTTCTACTTTCTTACTTTCTAATCCTGTCTGAGATTCATTATTTACCTTCTGGATTTCATTATCGATACTTTTACTCCAAGCTAATATTTCACAGAGTGGAGTAAAATTTCTGTCCATATCAAAACAGATGGGACGACACATATCATAGCGATTGATATGTTGTAGACGTGATAACAGTGGTTTTAATTTTTCATATGAAAATGTTATGCCTTTGATGCTTTCACAAAACTTCTTAATTTCGCTATCATCATTTTTTTCCTTCGGTACAAACTTCAGTAAATAGTAGTTAAAAGTTTTTGCATCAGTAAAATTGTTATTAAACCGATCAGACCATAGACTAGATTTAGAAACTTTGTACCATGTATCATAAAATGCAAGACACAACAATGTGTACTTAGATGCATAATCTGTTATATTTCTTTCTGAATATGATACATTAACACAAGTACTTATATTAGTGTCATTGTATAAAAATACTGGAATCCGGTTTAATTCTCCATCATTTCTCATAACATCTATAATACTTGTACTAATTGAATCTTTCGCAAAATAAAGGAGAAAGACGAAAATGGTGAGCCCGTAAAGTGAACGGGCTGTGCGTTTTCCCATTATTTTCCCTATATAATAAACCAATTACTCCTTTGAAAAGACGGTAGGCTGTCAAAGCAATAGATCTATCGTTGTTTAGACAACATGCTTCGATTTATTGACCATTAATTATGTATTTTCTCGTTGTTTAGAAGTCTCCGTATCCTCTGATTTCTCTTCGCACTTACTGCCAGTACAATGTCAGAAATTCTGTTCAACGCTTATTGTAACGGACATAACCTTTCAAAATTCAGCTTATTTCAATGCGAATCATCACAGAACTACACAGAATTACACTTATCACAGAATTCGACAAACACGCCATCTTTTTTGTTCATCAAATTGACCAAAAACATTGGCAATATAACCTTGTAAAATAAAGTTTCAAGTTCTTAGAAATGACATACGTATATACATTTTAACAATAACGTATCTATTATATTATGGAACCATTGTCTATGATTTTAAAATTTCTATTAGATACAGACAATTTTAAGACACGATTCATATGAAAGATAACTACGTACCTTAAACATTATTCATTCACTTGATATTTAGACTGGATATAAATGATAATGTGTTAATTTTTCTGCAACGGGGGAACGTATTTATATGTATACAAATAAATATAGTTCCTAAAATGCTTGTAAACAAAAGTCGAAATACACATGAACTTATGTACATATGCAAGTTTAAAGATTGCACATTCCTTTCATCAAGCTAATTTAAAAAAAAAAAACAAATTAAACAAACGATTTCATAATTGATTGAATTTCTAAAATGATATCATTCCACCTTCTTTTTTTACCATTTGAGTCTACCAATAGCAACTCATGTTCCACGTATGTTCTACACATATATATATATAAACATTCCATATACATGCATATGTACTCGTGAGAACTGTGTCCGGTAAAATGTGACAAGGGTGCAGGGTGATGGCTCACAATGGCTCACTCGCTATTTTCTCTCCTTGTCTTTGACCATGAGGATAGCACTGTTGAATTTGCTGTGAATCATCAGCCAATCAGAGAAAAGCAAATATCTCATGCCTTTTACACAAGCTCACGGCTGCTCCCGGTTAGGGTGCTTGCAGGTGTTTGCAGGTGCTTACGCGTAGGGATTACTGTCCATACGCAGTCGGCATCTAGCAGTTGCAAACAAGCCCTTAAACCTTTTCTATGCACGTGCGTTTTCCACATGTATAACCTACGTTTATTTTTCAGTTGAACAGAAATTTTTAAATTAGAAATTTGTACACCAAAAGGAGAATAAATTGTTCAGTTAAATTAATTATACGTTTTCAGACATAGTGTAGTCGATGCCGAAAACATTCATTTTTGGACAATGTCCTACATTCAAGAAAGCTTTCGGACAATAAACGTTCATAGATAATAATTAATATATGGATATTGTAATTGTTAAATTATCTTAATATATGTGTCTACCTCTCGTACCAAAAATAAGTAAAGTACACAGTCAGTATTATATCTTAAGTTCAACGATTTGTCTTCCGTGAGGTACGTGTATTTCCTTTATAAAATCTGTAATGTTTGTAAATCGTATTATTTAATAACTGATCAAGAACTTCAAACAAACCACACATATATTAATCGCCTAAATTATTTGTAAACTACTTGATATATATAAAATAATATTTGGAACAGAAGTTATATGATATCCAGGAAGGTGCACTATGCAATAATTATTTTACAATTTCGCCTTTTTTACTAAGTCACTTTTAGTTTTTTAATTGTAATGGATAAAATTTAACCCTGCAAGTAGAAAGAGAGTTGAATGCTGAATAAACAACTTTTACAGTATATATGATTCCAAATACTAATAATTATTGAGATATTTGTTAAATGATTTTTAATGTAAATAATGCTCAAAATGTTATCTGTGCTAGATTCAGTATAGGCAATGTTCTATATCTATTAAAAGCTTTTAACAATTTAACTCATAAGATTGATTATATATGACATTTATATTTCATCTAGTCAAAATGGTTTCCCAAATATTTGATGAATCTCCAAAAGAAATGCAGTTATTAAATTCAGACAATGAATCACAGAGCCAAAGGCAAAGGGATAGTGTTGAGAAAGTACAAATGAAAAAACAACTTGGCCTTTTAGAAGGTGTTGCAATTATTGTAGGAATTATATGTGGTTCAGGTAAAAGTTGCATTAGAAATTTTAATTTTTATATTTAATAGATAATATTAACAATGTAAACTATACGTAATTGCTAATTTTGTTTATTGTTTATATTAATAATAAGCACAACACAATAAAATTTATATATCTGTTTAGGTATTTTTATTTCTCCAAAAGGTGTCATTGTAGAAATAGGAAGTGTTGGAGCATCTTTAATTATTTGGGTACTATGTGGGGTTTTATCTATGATTGGAGCATTATGTTATGCCGAATTAGGAACTTGTATACCTCGTAGTGGTGGTGATTATGTTTATATCTGTGAATCTTTTGGAGCACTACCTTCTTTTTTATATTTATGGGCTGCTAATTTAATTGTTGTGTAAGTTGAATCCTCTTAGAAATGAATAAATTGAACTCAGTATGAACTATATGTAGCCTTGAATAAACAAAATGTAATGCTATGGAAATAATTATTGAACCATTTATTTGCAGACCAACTACTAATGCTATTATGGGATTAACATTTGCACAATATGTTTTACAACCATTCTTTCCAAATTGTGATATTCCAGACTATAGTGTACGATCAATAGCAGCTCTCACTATTTGTAAGATATTTTCATTAGATGTAAAATATCATTGAGTGTTCTACTTTTTTCTGCACTGAAAAGTACATGTAGAATACTTCTTTTATGTAGCTTATATAACTGACTGATTTTACATATAATTTAA